GAGAGAGAGAGAGAGCAAACTCTCTGAGACTCACCTCGTACGCTCTGAAGAGCAGATAGAGTTCCCTCGGCTTGGTGTCCATCGGCAAGCCGCTCACGAACAAGGTGCGCACCTGAAACAAGAGAGAAAGAGAAACGATAATTGAGTTAATTAACCTAATTGGCTGGTATAGAGGGAAATAACAGGGGTCGAGAAATACAGAGAGATAGAGAGAGATGAAGATAAAGATAGAGATAAAGAGAAAGAGAGAAAAAGAAAGAGGAGGGAGGGAGGGAGGGAGAGAGGGAGGGAGAAAGGAAGAGAGAAAAAGAGAAGACGAGTAAAGAGAACTTATATCCAAAGACAAGGCAACCGACTTTCTCGATTTGACTCTTGCCCTCATCCTGCCAGATAAGTCGATAGCTAATTGCAGAATCAATGTGAGATGCCCTGAGACAGGAAGAAATCGGTCCCCCTCGTTCTTCTTCCTTTTTAATTTCGCGATTAATTCGGCAATTTATAGAGGCGATCTCAATTAATTGAGGCGCATCCCCTAAAGATCTTGCAAGTGATTTCCGAAGATATTTCTTCCTTCCTCGCGATATCGATCATCTTCCCCGGCCGCTCGTTGTTAGCTTCAATGTAGTTGAATTAATGCGATATTGTTTCGCTTTCAGCGGAGAATGCAAATCGGCTTTTCGTATTGAGTGCCGTCATCGGAACAATGTGGCAAGAAAGGAGACTGATGTTGATTCGATGTAGCTTTCGCTAGCGAACGCTTGTTAAAAGCAGTTGTTACACTGCTAATTGCTAACCAAGTGTCCTCAATTCAATAAGAATATTAATAGAATTCGTTCATTTACGGATAGTTTTTTTATTATATTACAAATAAATTTTATTACAACAATTTAATTTGTGTTTAAACACTTATCGATATTATTATATTAAAAGCGAAGTTGATTAATTTATATAAAAATTTATATAAAATAAAGTTATCGACAGAAAGCATTTTATAATAAGCAATTTTGTGCTTGCAAATATATATTAAAAAAAAAAATGTCTTATATTAAAAGATAATTTACGCAGAGATTGTTTTTCTCTAGTAGTCTGGTTAAATTTTACTAATTATTCACAAATTAATAGTTTATGGTACTTCTTGTCACCTAAACACCTACTCACAGTATTGATAAAAACGCGGCGCGTGTAAAGCGGTAAAGCGAGACGCAAACTGCAACCATGTCGCAGGGCGGGCAGTCTACTAATGGATGAGACTAAGAGCGTAACCGGTAAAGTTTCGTCGGCCAAGTTACATGAGCGTCTTACACCGACCGGGCCTTAAGTAATTGCTGCGGCTATGTACACACACTCGCACATGTGGTGCATCGCAGGCGCAGGTAAGTGCGACATCGGCGCTGTCTCGCGCTCGCGCTCGCGCCGTCTAACTTATAATTATCCCTGGAGCGGGGCATCAAATTGCCGCAATGAGGTTGCAGCAATTAATAAAGTTAAGAAACATCGCGGCGGTTGTAAAAGTATGACGCACGCGCGCAAATCTAATTACAGAGTTTTTCTCTGTCGTCATGCTGCTCATCTAATTAATTTTTGTAAAAGCACCTTCCACTCACTATCGGCCATCAAATGTCTCGATAGCGGAAGTGTCATTCTTGACAGTTCGAGTGGCTAAGATGAAAACCACAGCTTAAATTAATGAGAAACTAGAATTATATAAAATGTAGGAAATTAATTATAAAAATGGCGAATAAAACTTCTTGGACGTCTAACATGCTTATTTTAATAATTATATTTATATCATGTAGATGTAACTCTCTGTGAAAAAAGAGCAAAACATGACTTTGCGTATATAAAAAGTTGTTAATCATTCCTTTTAAATTGTTTAGAATTATACAGAATTTCGAACTTTGCTACACTTGCGCACTTTGGTATCGAGTCTGGTAGATCAGCCGCATCAATCAAGAAAGAAGGAATACAAATTATCCTTCTCGGCAATTATCCGATTAGATCGCAAAATAGATCTCCGCCTACTTGTACGAAGTTAAAGGCAATTCACGGAGGAAAAGCAATTCTTAAATCGTGAAATCTACAAGACAAATCGCTCAGTACTTTATAAAAAACTGCCAATTTTTAATTTTTATTAATTAGATTGCTTTACATTCGGAAAAAAGAGGAAAAATAAAAATTGGAAACCTTAATAATTTAATCCATAATCCAAATTTAATCCATATTGTTTTAGAAGTTCTATCAAAAATTTAAAGAGTTTAACATTTCAAGAGTTTCAAGTAATTCGTATTATTACAAACAAATTAATTCTGATCTTGTGCTGTAATACTTATTTTAAATACATCTGTTCCTTCATCGATGAAATATTTTCAAAAAAATTGAAGCAACTTACGTATTTATATATTTCTTCTCTTTAACAACGTAGCAAAATCATGTTATTGTTCTGCTAACGAATATTACTCATTCGTTACGCTAATTAAACACAGCACGCATCAGATTTTTATCTAGAAGATTGTTAGTTTCCTACTCTTCTTCTTCTTCGCTTTTTTTCCGCGTTGTAAATTTCAAGCGCGTTTATAATCTTAGATGAGTTTTACGAGGCGTAACTTCTAAATGACAATAATTGATCATGGACGAGCGAGTCCATTCCTAGCTTGCAACTGACCATGTCGCTAGTTCTCATTGTTTCATCTTCAAAACTATGCCGCGCCGCCACTTGCACATCCGCTGGCGACACTCCTCGTCCCATATTTGCGTTCCCCTTTTAGCAGCCGCTATTATTTAGAAACGATCTTATGTATCAACAAATACATACAACAAATATAAGATAGTCGAGTGTTTCAAATAATGCAAGGCTTCTTTATGTATAACTATAAATTGTATAGATTAAGACATTTCTTTCCGGTATTAAATTTCATTAGATACAACTTTCTTTACAATATTTAATTTTGAATATTTTTATAATTAATACTTAAAAATTTAAACATGACAAACTAACTAAACTAAAAAAAGAGAATTTTATTTATTTATGTGTCTGAAGATTAATCAATAAAATTTTCTAGTTTCTCAATAATTCATAACTTAGACTATTTAGATGTAAATTAATTCTCGATAAAAAATAATTTCAATGGCGAAGTATTAATCGTATACTCGGATTATTTCAAGATTGCACGTGACAGAAGGAAGGTAGCGATTCGTTACCGTCCCCTCGTTAATTTCCGGCAGGAAGCATCGAGGACAGAAAAGTAGCACAAGCAAAAGAAAAAATATCTACAATCCTGAATTGATTTATTTCAAACATATAGCTTCATCATCATTAAATTTCTTCAATAATTAATCGAATATTCGTCTAGTTATTGAAAGCCAATTCGTATTGTAAATAACTATAATTATTTATATCTTACACACACACCTGAACAAATATTATACCTTGTTTCAATAAATTTCTCAGTAATATACATATATCCTGTTCCTGCATTACATGACACCATTATATTCATTATTATAAATCGTGTATCGTCGTAATCGTATATCATTAAATCATATAAAAAGACTTTTGCAAATTATTATAGATGTATTATTTAACACTATCGGAAGTTTCTTACAACATCTCTGGCTTATTAATTGATATTTTTCTTGCCAATTATAATCTTGTAATAAATCTTCTAATCTTGGAAATTGTGGAATTAAGTTTCATATATAAAATTTTCATTGTTTTATATTCCTCATTTTCATTCTTGTTTCCTCGATCAAGCTAATACGACATTGTCTACATCGAAAGTTGCCCGTTTTAATTTTGCTGAGAACGCAGACTTAGAAATCGATTCGATAGAGTAAACACCGAGAATATTTGCATTATATGCATATTACCATCCGATGCAACAACTCAGGTGAGAGACCACTGTCTAGTTCAAAGCTCATTGCCTCATAGTAACGTGTTGGCAGTGTCGGTCAAATGCAACGGCTACCGCTATTCAATTAATCTTGAATCAGGATTTACAGGTAATTTGAGAACACATGCCGAGAGGAACAATTTGTAAAACGCACGCCTCGCCAGATTCCAAATGGAAATGCGCGGTTACAAGCATATCTCTTTACAGACAGACAGAGCAAAGCCGTGAGAGATTTATTCAATTCAATGAAGCTTTCGTTCGAACGTGCATGCGTAACAACACAATTACACTCGCGTATGGGTGTATTAACGCGGCGAGTCGTGCACGTTCGCGAACGTGAGTGTAAACACTTGCAAACACAGGAAAAGCAGTAATAAAAGAGTACATGGAAAATAGTGATAAAATAAAAGACAGCACAATTTTCTCTCCGATACAAATAATTTTACTCTTTCATAACATGTCACGAACGTGTCACATTGGAAACAACAGACAATTTGTTACTAAAAATATTCGATGCACTGCTGGCTGTTGAGAATACAAAAATGCTGAATCAGATTAACGTTCGCAAATAGGGAACATTTTTGACTGTGCACGTCGTTTAAGAATGGATTTTCATGCGCTGAATAAAAGAAAAAGAAAATATAATTTACATATGTGACAGGAATAATAATTTTTGTTAATATCTTTCTCTATTTCTCTTTAATAATATTATTATTATTATATAATATTATTATTATTCATATAGTAATATTAATAATCATTAATATTATAATTTTATTAGTTTTGCATTATTATTTTTGTTATGTTGTTGCTCAATTTTTGTATTAGAAATTATTTCATTAACTTTTTAATTTGAAATTTTTATTGAATATTTAATTAAAAACTTAAAATTTAATCATATTAATAAATTTAAATTTGCATTAAAGTTTTGGCAAATCATTTTTATGATTTGATACATATAACTAAAAAAGAAAAACTAAATATAAAGTTAAAATCGATAATATACATAATTTAAAAACATTCTCTAGGCAAATTATTTATTAGTTACATATTTAATGTTTTTTTATCGTATTTATCTTTATCGTATTTACCTTTACTTACGCAGTAATTAATTGGTACACAAATTTTTTAAATGAAACACAAATAAATAGTTCAGTAGCGGCGATGAAAAATATATTCTCAATTTTTTTATTCATTCTGTTATATTTAAAAAAAATTAACA